AAGAGAGAAAGCAAGCCGCCAGGTCCAGGACTCGAACTGTAGTCAGCCATGTGGCGTCTTTAACCACCCTGCCACCTGCTGGCCCCAAATGGTACTTTCAATGGACAGAAGTATAAGGGATTATAGGAAGGCCAGAATTTACATAGAAACGGCCTTTTTTGATTTGACATAATGCAGAATCTTTAGGGAGGGAGGGTTAAAGTTCAGCAGCTATAATAGAGGAAAAAACTGGGAAATGTATGTACATATATATGTATGTATATATACACAGGGAGAGAAAGAGAAAGTGAGAAAGCACGCTGGATGGGTGCTGACCACACCACAGTCCCTTCTTCTCCACTCTTTTATCAGGATTTTGGGCGTACATGTACATGTACATGTTCACAGCATGTTTTTCAAACCTCTGGGTCCGCGATTCAAATTACTCAGTTGGCCGTGGGATCCATCCACAACACCTAACTGGCCCAGGGAACTATATTCTTAAAGCAGCATTAGCCTTCAGTGTCATCAAAATAACTATGGTTACTCATTTTATTTTCTACTTTACCTATCTTGATGTCAAAAAAGAAAAAAAAAAAAAAAAAAAAAACAACTTAAAAATTCTTCAGAATTTTCTTTTTCCTGAGATGAGCTCTTTTCCCTGGCTTCCAGTTATTTCCTACCAATATTGGGCTGGGGCAGAACTTCTTGCACACTCTCCTTGTACAGCTGAATATAGTATCACTCTCTCTGACTATAGATTTTGTACACACCTAATTTACAATTATTTGGGATGTCTTTTTCTAATTTTTGTCTTTTCTCATGCCCTTTTTTTTCCTCCCCCAAAGGCGACAGCCCTGTACAGTGTCTGAAATTTTCCATTTTTGTTGGGTGCTTTTTATATATGCAAAAGGTAAGAAAAGAGTAATATTTATTTGGATATTAATTAGTTTACTTAATTTTCTGGTACTAATTTTGTTTACCTGTAATATGTTTCAGGATAAGAGTCTCATTCAGAATTTTTTCAAGGGTTTAATCCCAGATTCTTTACATGTTGCCTTTTATAAAAAGGGTTTTTTGAATTTCTTTACAACATTCAAATCTTCTCTTATTAAATGGAAAACCCTTTGCTTTTGTTTATACACAACATCTTTTCCACCCAAAACTGTTCTTCTGAAGTATGAAGTATCTACCCTTGTTTTTTGAGCTGTATTTTTTTCATGAGACACCTTATTCAGTTGAATGGGATTGATCATCCTAAGAGTACTTTGATTACTTTTTGCATCCTATTCAGATAAACATTCTTAAACAAAGGCCTTTACTACAATTTCTCTTCCCTTCCTTTCTTTTTAACTTTGAACCTTCCAAAGGTGTACATTCAGTGAAATTTGGTCTTCTATATATTTCTATGTAGAAATCTTAACAATCTAAAGAAAAGAAAGAACAGTTATGTATTAGTTATGTAGATTTCTTGATAGACTACGGGGCATGCCTTTGCCTCTAAGAAAACAAAGGATCTTAGAGCTGGAAAGAGTTTCATAAGTATAAGATAATCTCATTGTTAAACCATCTAGCTCAATTTACTCATTCTAAATACTGTGCAGCTGATTGATGTCCAGAAACTAGCTACTAGGAACAGAACTAAATTTGAATTCAGATCTGGTTTCTGATTTCATGCTGGATATGAAGGCCCCTGGCAACCATGTATCACCATTGGTCTTCGGTTGGCTCTGTTTGATTGTAGTTGGTCCTTTCTTGCTAGTTAGGTGAGAGCCATCCTTTCTTTGATCTGCATCTTGATTGAGAAGAAAAATCTTTGTTCTGTCAAATATGAGCTGTTAGTTGTTATGCTTTCCATCACATTAGCATGTTTCTTTAGTGGAGTTGAAGGTGGCATAATCAGTGGCATGCAATAAAGGCTGAGGAATATTTAAACTGTTGTATAGTAGTTGTAACAAGTTTCACCTTGTACGGCTGGTATTATATATGATAGTCTTTTCATATGATTGTATTGGACAGGTTTGTCTGTCTTTCAGGATTTTTATTTGTTTTGTCTTTTTTTTTTAAATAACTTTTATTTTAACTTTTTATTATTATTTTCCAGTTTGATCAGAGAGAGACAGAGAGAGAGAAAGTGAGAAAGCAAGTCACAAGGTCCGGGACTTGAACTGTAGTTGGCCATGTGGGAGTCTACCACACCACCTGCTGACTCTTGTCTTTTTTTAATACATGTGTGCTTTGGAGTATGTATTCAGTATTATATAAATTTAAAAAAATAATTTTATTGGTATTATTTTGGTCTCAATCAGCTGGGGTGACATATTATTTTTATAATTGACTCAGTGTTAAATTTATCTTATTATCTATAACAATTTGACCCTAACAACCTTTGTCTTTTCACAGGCCACCACTGTGATTTTTTATGATGTACTAGGATCATTTCTAATAGAGTTTAATTGGTTTTATTCTATACTTGATTTATTTATTTTGGGAGAAGGTGTATTCTTTTATAGCCATCTTTCTCTTGATTCTTTGCAGCCTTTGGGCCATCTCTTTCTGATAAATAAGCTGACTTTTTGCCTGCTAACTTTGTTGACTTCTCCTGGAAAGTATATACCAGTGGCAAGTGTAGGCTTGTCTCATGAGAGCTTTGTGGCCAGGAAACCAATAGGTGCCACTTCTTGTTTTACATGAAATCCTAACTCTTCTTATCCCTGACACATAACCAACTCTGGAAATTAAATAGGTTTCTTTTTTTCTTTCTTTCTTTTTTTTTTTTTTAACTCATTTAAACTGAGATTTATTTGGTCAGGATTTTAAATGAAAAGTATGTCGTATTGGGACAGTCTTGTAATTTAAGTTAGACTTTGGTCTTTAAAGTTTTTCGTTTTCAGCTTTTTGTTAGAGGTTTTGCCTTCTCAGGCAAGTACACATCAGTGACAAGTTTAGGCTTGTCAGTGTGAAGGGTTTGTAGCTGGCAACCAATAGGTGCCACTTCCTGTTTTACATAGGAGGAACTGAGTATATTTAAATATTAAACCTCTTTATAGTAGAGCCAAGCACATAACTAGTTTGATTATGTCAATGTAGAATTTAATCTATTAATTAGCATGCATTTTTCTGGTCATAGAGATATATTTTTTCTTTCCAATTCATTTTAAGTTGATTGGTTGTTTGTTTCCATCTGTTAAAATGTTTAATTGTTTATCTCAATATGCTGAGGTAAGTGTTAACTTTCTTTGGCAGAAAGGAGAGGAAAAAACCCTGAAACCTAGGGCTGTGTGTGTGTGTGTGTCTGCGTGTGTTTGTGTGTATGTATGTATGTATGTGTGTATGCATCTATTTGGGTAGGCTTTACGTGAGGTTTAGAAATAGGTCTTTAGGTGTGTATATGAATCAAAGTCATCTAATGTTACCAGAATAATAGTTCTGGTAACAGAACATTTAATAATCAATATAAATCATAAATATAGTGCTTAACCAAATAAGGGAATAAACTTGAAGTTATAAAAAAAGTATTTTTAATTTTAAGAATGATAGAACTATTTACTTGAGTGTAAAAACTACTTTTGTTGTTAAATACTGTAGAATGACATGTTTCTAAATGGTTTTGGTTTTGATTTCTCATATCTTTGTTACTAAGCATCAGCAATTATCCTTGGGGTTTATTTTTCTTTTAATACTTTCTAAAATTTTTATTTTATTTATTCATTCATTTATTTTTATTTGACCAGAGAGAGAGAGAGAGAGAGAGAGTGCGCGCAAGCCACCAGATCTGGGATTCAAACTGTGGTGGGTCATGTGGGAGTGTCCAGCGCCTTAACCACCACGCCTCCTGCTGGTCCCCAGGATCTTTAATTATACTTCTGTTGTATTAATTTGTATGAGCTTATATTATTATGTTAAAAAGTTTAAAATGTTACTGTTAGGATTCTAATGACAAATTCTGGTCATTTAAAAGTATGTACATGAGAAAAGTAATTATTTGAGTCATTTTCTCAGCAGTTCCTTCTGAGTATTCTAGTAATACTCATGACAAAAACTATTTTCGTTCAAAAGAATTTCTTATAGTTTAAGATAATTTATAAAGATTTTTTTTTTCTTTTTAATTTGCTACAGAGTAAGTGTGCTCGTGGTGCAGGGGGGAGAGAAAGAGGAAGAATAAAAGTGAAAAAAAAATCCTTCTAGAGGAGGGCTAGCCATGCCACAGTTCCTTCTCCTCTGTTCTCTTGAGACTTGGGGCACACAAGTACACGTTCCCAGTGTGTTTTTTAAGCTGCTGGATCTGGGACTCACATTGCAGTCAGCCTTGTGAGATCCAGCTACCTTAACCACCATGCCCCCAATTGGCCCTAAAATGTCTTCTTTTCAGAATTTCTGAAAAAAAGCCAATAATAATAGTTTTAGTCAGCTACTAAGTATTTAATAAGTGCTTATTTAATCAATATTGAATGAATGAATGGTATTTTTAGTAACGTTTTAGTTTTCATTAAACTTTTAGAAATTTATTAAATGTTAGAGAAATATCTCAGCATGTAAATTTGTCAAAACACTTAGTATAACTCTCGAGTCAATTTTGTACAGTATTGTATAATGTCATAATTAAAGGAAGAAATGTTTTGAAACATTGTAAAGTTGATGCTAATTTAGTCCTATAAATGTTTACTGTTCTGTAGGTAATTTCCCTATGATTAGTGATGATTTAGTCAATTCTTACCATCTTTTGCTGTGTGCTTTGGACTTAGTTTATGGAAATGCCCTTCAGTGTTCTAATCGTAAAGAACTTGTGAATCCTAATTTTAGAGGTAAGTTTGTAAATCAAATATTGTATAACCCACATTTCTACGATATGTTTACTCTTGGAAGTTGTATATGTAGTACAAGTTTCCTAGTATCAGTGGGCACAGTGTTTTCAAAAGCTTCCACCATCACAGTTATCTAGGATATTCATAACCAGGAAACAAGCTCTCTATAAAAATACTTTTAGGAAAAACAATTGCAAATATCACAGTTTAAAGTCTTAGATGACAACTTTAGAAGTTTCTGAAATACTCAAGGCATTTAGAAACTCAGACTACCACAGATGACATTAAAGCTGATAATGTTTTTGTACATTGTTAATCTGTGTGTCTGACACACTATAGTAGTTCAGAATTTATGGGAGGCCAGCAAGTGGCATGTTGGTTAAGATGGTGGATTCCTGGGGCTGGCAAATGGTGTGATGGTTAAGGGCACTAGACTCCCTTATGGCCCAATGGTTCAAGTCCCGGACCTGGTGGCTTGCTTTTTCACCTTCTCTCTCTCTCTCTCTCTGTCCCTCTCTGGTCAAATTAAAATAAATGAATAAATAAAGTTAAATAAAATAATTCTTTAAAAAACAAAAAACAAAAAACATGCTGGACTCCCATGTGGATGACCCTGGTTCTAATCCTGGACCTAACAGCCTAAAAGCCATGCTGAACATCTGTGCGTGTGTGCCCCAGTCTCAAGAGGAGAATTGTGGCATGGCCAGCCTCCCTGGGGGTGATTTCTTGTTTTTCCTCCCTCTGTCTCTTTCTGGCAAGCACAAATACCCTTTAGCCAAAAACCTTAAGAATGGGGGTGGTGTGGTGGTTAAGGTGCCAGATTCCCATATGGCTGATATGATTGGATTCCTTGATGCAGTTGGAGTCCCGGAACTGGTGGCTTGCTTTCTCACTCTCTCCCTGTCTCTCTGTAGTGAGTACATGTGCCCTGTACCTACTTAAAAATAATAACAATAATATAAATAAAAGTAAATAAATCTTCAAAAAAGTATTTAATGAAGAATTTTAATCCCAGGGTTTTTTTAATTGAATCTCAGATTATATTTCTGAAATAACTAAAATGAACTTTTTTTTTCTTTTTTTTAGAGAGGTTTTTTGCTATAGGGCGCGTGCGCTCACCAGACAGAGAGAGACATAGAGACAGAAAGCGAGAAATCACCCCCAGGGGGGATGGTCACTCCGCAATCCCTTCTCCTCCATTCTCCTCTCGGGATCTTGGGCACGCACGCACACGCGCCCGGCGTGAGTTTTAAGCCACCGGGTCTGGGACACGAACCGCGGTCGACTACGTGGGAGTCCAGCGACATAGCCATTACGCTAACTGCTGGTTCCCTAAAATGAACTTTTATTTCTTAGACTAACAAATGTATGGTAAGGATTATTTTAGCAATACATTTAGTAGGCTTTTTGGTATGTAATTACTATGAGTGATGTACACATAAGAGCTGAATCTTTGAATTACAAAGCAAATGTTAAAATTTATAAATGTATAAATGTATAATGTATAATGCAGTGGCAATTTGAATAATGCCATGGTAGGATTCTGGATAATTGTCAGTTTTGGATTGATTCCAATTGGAATTACAGCTTGTCTAAGAAGGTTATTATTATTTTCTTTTTGAGATTTTTGCTATTGGATATATGCGCTCACCTGAGAGACAGAGATGGAGAGACAGAATACGAGAAATCACTCCCAAGGGTATATGGCCACACCATAATCCCTTATCCTCCATTCTCTTCTCAAGATTTTTGGGCACATTGGGAACCAGCAGTTAGCGTAATGGCTATGTCGCTGGACTCCCACGTAGTCGACCGCGGTTCGCGTCCTGGACCTGGTGACTTAAAACTCAAGCCGGGTGCGTGTGCGTGCGTGCCCAAGATCCCGAGAGGAGAATGGAGGAGAAGGGATTGCGGCGTGACCATCCCCCCTGGGGGGTGATTTCTCGCTTTCTGTCTCTATGTCTCTCTCTGTCTGTCTGGCGAGCACACGTGCCCTGTAGCAAAAAACCTCTCTAAAATTAAAAAAAAAAAGTAAAAAAAAGATTTTTGGGCACACATGCTCATGTGCCCAGTGTGAGTTTCAAGCCACCAAGTTTGGAAACTTTAAATGCAGTCGACCACATGGGAATCCAGCATTTTAACCACTGTACCACCTGCTGGTCCAACAAAATTAATTCCTTTAAAAGTGTATTTCTTTCTGAGAGAGAAGGCAGGAGGGGGTAGGTATATGTGACAGAGTCTTGCTATACTGTAGTCCTCCCTGCTACCCTTCCAGCTATGAGTGCACCTGGTGTGTCAGATCCATTGGAGATCTTATCCCAGGCCTCCTATATGGCTCTAATATTGCACGGTGGCACCCTACGGCCTGCTGCACTATAACTAGGCTAAAAGGTAGCCTTTTTTTGGAGAGAGGTCTTTTTTTTTTTTTTCCCCGTAGGGTTTGTGCGCTTGACGGATAGACAGAAAGTGAGAAATGGAGGGATGGCTACACTGCAATTCCCTTCTCCTCCATTCTCCTTTTGGGATTTTGGGCATACATGCATATGCACACGGCATTAGTTTTAATGCCGGGTCCAGGACTCAAACCGCTGTCGACTACATGGGAGTCCAAAGACATAACTATTACTCCGTCTGCTGGTCTTCAAAAGATAGATTTTTAAAGTTAGTGGAGTTTGTTATCTTAGTTGCTCCTGGTTTAGTAAATTTTTTTATTTTTAAGGTTCTTGCTATAGGGTACATGTATTTGCCAGAGAAAGACAGAGAGGGAATACGAGAAATCATCCTGCAGGGGGCTTGGCCATGCTGCAATTCCTTCTTCATTCTCCTTCTGGGATTTTGGACACATGTGCACACACATCCAGTGTGTTTTCTTTTCGTTCTTTTTCTTTTCCTTTTTTTTTTTTGAAAGATTTGTGTTATAGGGTCTGTGCGCTTGACAGAGAGCGAGCAAGTGAGAAATCACCCTCAAGAGGATGGCCCAGCTGCAGTCCCTTCTCCAGTCTCCTCTAAGGATTTTGGGCATGCACGCCCAGTGTGGGTTTCAAGTCATGGGGTTTGGGACTCAAACTGTGGTCAGCCATGTGAGAGTCTAGAGCTTTAACTATTATGCCACTTGCTGGCCCTGTAATTTTTTTTTTTTAAAAAGAGAATTTTGCCGGCCCGCAGGTGGCGTGGTGGTTAGGGGCTGTGGATTCCCACATAATCGACCTCAGTTCGAGTCCCAGACCTGGCGGCCTGCTTTCTCACTTTCTCGCTCTCTCTCTCTCTCCTTCTCTGGTCAAATAAAATTAATGTATTAACTAAATAAAGTTCAATAAAATAGTTCTTTAAAAAAATGGCTTTCAATAAGTTCCAAGTACTACATTAGAGAAAAAGGCAGAATGGTGAGTCCATTTCAAAGTTATACTTTGAAGTGAATGAGCCTAGTAAATGACTGGGATTTTTGGTAAATGACAGCCCTTCCACTAGTAGCTTGGGCAATCATCTGGTCCAGCCCAGGCCTTCAGAGGGGGGTAGTGGTGATTTTTTTGTTTTCTATCTCTCCAGCAATTGCATGCTCTCTATAGCAAAAATTTCTCTAAAAAAAGTGTATAATCTTTTTTTAAAATTATTTAATTTTATTTATTATTATTATTATTATTAATTTGACTAGGGAGACACAGAAAGAGAGAGGGGAAGCGAGAAAGCAAGCCACGAGATCTTGCACTCTAACCATGGTTGACCACTTGGAAGGCTAGCACCTTAACCACCACACCACCTGCTGGCCCCAAAAGTGTAGAATCTTTTTGTTTTTTGGAGAGGTTTTTGCTATAGGGCACATGCACTTGCCGGGAAGATAGAGACAGAAAGTGAGAAATCGCCTCCCCCAGACAGGATGACCATGCCATAATCCCTTCTCTTTCTCCTTTTGGGATCTTGGATACACACATGCGCCCGGCATGAGTTTAAGCCACCAGGTCTGGGACTCGAACCACAGTCGACTACATGGGAATCCAGCCAGAAAGCCATTACGCCAACTACTGGTCCCCCAAAAGTATATAATCTTTTGAAGAGCAAAAAAAATTTTTTTATTGATGGTGGGCACAGGTGGGCACATGCACTTACCCAAGCGAGAGAGAAAGAGGGAAAGTAAGAGAGAAAGCACCCAACAGTGGGGCCCCATCGTATTGCAGTTGCTTTTCCTCCATTTCTCATTTGTGTCAGGGTTTGGGGCATGCAGACACATGCACCATCATATTTTTCACTCACTGAGGTTAGGATCTGAACTGTGGTCAGCCATGTGGTATCTGACCTTCCATGCACATGCTATGCTGTGAGGCTAGCACAACAAAATTTCTTTGAAGTGAAGTTTGTTGTTGGAATGCAAGGCTTATTTGCTAATTTATATTTTATTTTTTTGTGACTTTCAGATCTTAAAGCAATAAACTTAAAATAAATTTTTAGTTTTCTAACCATCTCTAGATACTGATTGATAATTGAATAACTGATTTTTTTGAGTGGTGATACACTTTCCCTCTATTTGTCTTTTTTTAAAAAATAATAATTTATTTAATTTTTAAAATGTACTCATTCATTTATTTTAACTTGACCGGAGGGAGACACAGAGACTGGGAGAGAGGGAAAGTGAGAAAGTAAGCCACCAGGTCGAGGACTTGAACTGTGATTAGCCGTGTGGGAGTGTCTAGCACCTTAGCTGCTATGCCACCTGCTGCCCCATCTTTTTTTTTTTTTTAAGAGAGTTTTTTTTTTTTTTTTTTTTTTTTTTTTTTTTATTGGTTTTGTGTCCCCACAAGAGGCTATAGGGCTTGTGGACTCACCAGAGAGACAGAGACAGAAAGCAAGAAATCACCGCCCCCCTCCCCCCAGCGGGGATTGCCACACCACAATTCCTTCTCCTACAGTCTCCTCTAGGGACCTTGGTCATGCATACACACATGACTAGTGTGAGTTTTAAGTTGCTTGGTATGGGACTGGAACTGTTGTTGACTATGTGGGAGTCCCAGCAACATAACCATTATGCCATCTGCTTGTTCCTGCCTGTCTGTCATTTTTGAGGTATATTTAAGTAGACTCAAATTATGTTCCTTTATAGTATTTTCTCTAAACTCATATGATAACTTTTATGCTGACTAGACTCTATTTTTTATATTTTAGTTTATTACAGTTTGGTTTATTGAGTGCTAATATCTCTATTTTATAATTCTGTGCATCATAGGTCTGTCTGAAGATTTTCATGCTAAGGATTCTAAACCTGCCTCTGACCCACCTTGTGTCATTGAGAAACTCTGTTCTTTACATGATGGCCTAGTTTTGGAAGCAAAGGGAATAAAGGAACATTTCTGGAAACCTTACATTAGGAAACTTTATGAAAAAAAGGTTTGTAAGTAGCAAAGAAATAATGTGAGCATGTTTTCTGGAGAAAGAGAAAGAATTAACATGATGACTAATGATCTCTTTTTTTATGATAGCTTCTGAAGGGAAAAGAAGAAAATCTTACTGGGTTTCTAGAGCCTGGAAACTTTGGAGAGAGTTTGTGAGTACTTCTGGTATAAAACTATTTTAATATTTTAAATTGTATACTTAGGAAACCTCAGAGTTTATTATTTATTTTTTATATTTTTGTTACTCTGGAAGTCTAGAATACATTTTGTGGGAGAATACAGGGAAGTAGTAACAGTTTTGTCAGGGTGCCCAGACTTGGTGATATAGGTTGGAGTACAGTGTTAGAAAACCACATGGTAGGTACAGCAGGTGGTGTAGTAGTTATGGTGCTGGATTCCCACTGGACCTGGTGGCTTTAAATTCATGCTGGAGGTATGTGCATGCTTGCTCAAAGTTCCAAGAGAAGAATGAAGGAGAAGGGATTGTGGCATGGCCATCCCCCTGGGGGGTGATTTTTTGCATTCTGTCTTTCTGTCTCTTGGGTGAGCGCATGCACCCTGTAGCAAAAATCTCTTTAAAAAAAAAAAAACAAAAACAAGAAAAGAAACCACATGGCAACTATAGTTCAAATCCCTGGGCTGGTCAGCCCGAAACATGCTGGACATGCATGTTAGTGCCCAAGATCCAGCAGACTAGAGGAGTGGAGGAAGGGGAATGCACTGTGACCAAACTGCCAGAGGGTGCTTCTTGTTTTCTTTCTCTTATGTGCACACTTCCATGAATAAAACATGAAAAATTTGAAAAGTTGAGACCAGAACATTTGTTTAGGGCTCAGCCCTGGATGACTCCTGGACCATCTAAAAACAAAATTCTGTTTGATGGTCAGAAAAGTCATGATGTATTTTTAATGTTTTTCTATACAAAAGTGTGTCATGACTTTTCTGATGACCTAATATTACTGTAAGCATGCTTTTAAATTCATTGAAAATTATGACTGTTCTTTTTTTAAAATTTAACTTTATTTATTTATTTTTTAATTTGACCAGAGTGAGAGAGGGAGAGGGAGAGGGAGGGAAGGAAAGTGAGTAAGCAAGCTGCCAGGTCCAGAACTCAAACCATGGTTGACCATGTGGCAGTCCATTGCCCCTTTACCACCTCGCCACCTACTGAACCCATTTATGACTGTTCTTTAAAGCTTTGTTAGGCTTCTGGATTCTAACTTTTGAAATAAAGATATTCTCTTGTAACTGTATGGTAAAAAATGGTAATATGGAAGTACAGCAGTCCTCAGAATTACCTAGAAGTGCTGGTTAAGGTACTTAAATTTCTCACCAGGCAGACTGATGCAAGGTGCTCACTCTGAAACACTGTCAGCAAGACTGTGTGGAGCACTGTATAGTAGGCTTACATTTTATACCCTTCCTTTTTTTTTTCTTAAAGAATTACTTTATTTAACTTTATTTATTTAAATTTGACCAGAGAGGAACAGAGCGGGAGAGGGAGAGGGAGAGGGAGAAGGAGGGAGGAAGAGAGGGAAGGAGGGAAGGAAAGCAAGAAAGCAGACCTCTAAGTCTGGGACTCAAACCATGGTCAGCCATGTGGGAGTCTAGACCTTTAGCCACCATGCCACCTGCTAGACCCCATACCCTTTTGTTTTTATAATTTACAGTGATCCCACTAACAATTTTTTCTTTTAGTTTTGCTATAGAGTGTGTGTGTTCAAAAAAATCAGCAGGAGTTGAGAGAGAGAGAAAGTGAGAAATCACCCTCTTGGGGGATGGCCACACCGCAGTCTTCCTTCTTCATCCTCCTCTCAGGATTTTGGGCACACACTCACACATGCCTGGTGTGATTTTCAAGCTGCTGGGTCTGAGACTTGAACCACACAGTCAGTCATACGGGATCTAGCTGCCTTAACTTCTATGCTACCTGCTGGCTTTATCCTACTAAAATTTAACTTTCAAGAAGTTATTATAATTTTTGGTAAATAAAAAAATGGTGTAATTGGCCTGAAACAATAACCAAAGTGACAGTTTTGTGAAAGAGTACATTTTGTCTTTTTTTTTTTCTTATAGTAAAGCCATCAATAAAGCCTATGAAGAGTATGTTTTATCTGTTGGGAATTTAGATGAACGGATATTTCTTGGAGAGGATGCCGAGGAGGAAATTGGGACTCTCTCAAGGTGTCTGAACACTGGTTCAGGAACAGAGACTGCTGAAAGGGTGCAGATGAAAAATATCTTGCAGCAGCATTTTGACAAGGTGAGTTAAGCCATGCCAGAAAAGTGGAAATACAAGAACACGTCATCCAGGGGTTCTGTTACATTTTGCTAATTGTGTGTGTGCACGCAACTTGCTTCCAGTATGATAAAGAAAATTCCCATCATACTTATTTGAAAAAATTGTCTTTATGTTTATTAATTTCCTTTTTGTTAACATCAACTTTCAAAAATTTTAGTTAGGCCTGAAGAAAAGAAAAAAATTAAACCTAAACAAATCTGTTATGCAGTTGTCAGTCTTGAAAAGATTGGTCAGTTATAAATACTCCTTTATATGTTGTGAATAGAGTAGACATTTAGAATCTTTAACTGACCTGAATTGGGACCATCATTTAAGAGAATGGAGAAACTTGAGAACTACAGTCTTAAGTTTTGTTGGACTGAGTGTCAGGAACATGTATTATTACTTCAAACAGAAATTAACAATGATGGAAATTTAAGAGTTTCCCTTCTGTTGTGTGGTAATCACAGAAAACACAAAGCTTTTGACAAGTTCCTCCAGAGTCAGTGTGGATAATCCAAGGGGCAACTCAATGGCTTCAGATGTGAGACTGATCTACTTACTTATTTAACAAATATTCCAGCGATACTTTATATGCCAGATTGTGTCCTAGACACTGCGGATACATCAGTGAACAAAACAGCTAGGGATGCTCATTTCTAAAACAGCTTATGTTCTAATGTGGGGAGATGACAATAGATAACCAAAGAAGTGTAGATAGCCTGTTGGGTGATGGTATATGAAGAAAAATAGAGTAGTGATACAACATTGTAGGTGGAAGGGTGGCATTAGTGGGTTTTCGGTTATTGTAGTTAAGGTGGCTGGGAAAGATATCACTGAGGAGGTAATACTAACGAAAATTTGAAGGAAGGAAGGAAGGAAGCAAGTAACTTAAATAGCTGGGGAAATGTATCTGAAGTCAAAACAATAACAAGTAAAGCCATGAGGTAGGAATACGACTGACTTTGTGGAGGAACAGTGAGGGTGATAGTGTCGTAGGAATAAAGTAAAGGGAAGGGGGATAGGAAGTGAGGATAGGAGGGAAGAGTGATAAGTGAGGATAGGCAGGTCATATAGGCTTTGGTAGCCATTGTGTGGACTTATGCTTTTCTTCTGATTGAGATGAAAGCCATTAAGAGGGTGTTTTTGAAAAGAGTGACCCTCCCCACACAGGTAGTCTCATTTATGTTTTTAAAGGTCTTAGGGGGAAGTGGGGACAGGAGTGTATAGTCCATTATTGTGTTGTTAACAAAAATACCCAAGACTGGGTTATTTATTTAGAGATTTTTTTTTTCCCTGTAGGGTGTGTACACTCGCTGGAGAAACAGAGACAAAAAACGAGAAATCACCCCCCAGGGGAGATGACCATGCCGCAGTCCCTTTTCCATTTTCTTCCTGGGATCTTGGGTATGCACACACACGCACCCAGAGTGAGTTTGAAGTCGCCAAGTCTAGAAGTCTAACCATGGCTGGCCATGTGGGAGTCCAGTGACATAACCGTTAGGCCATCTGCTGGTCCCAAGACTTGGTAATCTATTAAGAAATAGAGGTTTATTGACTTACAGTCTGATGGCTGGAAAGTCCGAAAGGCATAAGCCTGGCATCAGGGAGGCCTACAACATGACCAATGGAAGTACAGAATAGGGTGAGTGTAGGCAGAGAGAGAGAAAGCAAGCTGCAGACAGCTTTTTCTAACAATCAACTCTAGCAAGAACTAACTCCTGGGACCAGCAGATGGCATAATGTTTGTTGTTGGACTCTCATATAGTTGACCGTGGTTAGAGTCCCAGATCTGGTGGCTTAAAATTCATGCTAGGCATGTGTGCTTGTGTGCCAAAAATCCTGAGAGGAGAATGAAAGAGAAGGGATTGTGGTGTGGCCAGCCCCCCGCCCTCCCCGAGTGCAATTTCTCACTTTCTGTCTCTCTGTCTCTCCAGTGAGTGCACACACCCTATATCAAAATCTCTCTCAAGGAGACCAGCAGATGGCATGGTGGTTAAGGCACTGGATACTCCCACATGGCTGACCAGGGTTCGAGTCCTGAATCTGGTGGCTTGCTTTCTCACTTCCTATCTCTCTCACTCTCACCCTCTGTCTCTCTCTGGTCAAACTAAAAAATAAATGAATAAATAAAATAAAATAAATAATTATTAAAATCTCTCTCAAAAAAAGAAAGAAAATGAACTAATTCCTTCTCACCAGTGCTAGTGCTACAACTCACTGGGTCTTCCAAGGTATCATTAATCTATTCATGAGAGTGGTGCCTCCATGATGCAGCATCATGATCCAGTCACCACTGGGCTTCGCCAGCTCTTAGCACTGAGTGCCAAAGCATGAACTTTGAGGGACAAACCATTATCCAAGCCATAACTGAGACAAGGATGGAAATAGTGAGTTGAGAGTTCATTGCAATGATTTTAGTGATAGTTCATAGTGGCTAACCTCACAGAAAAGGTTGTATTTGGACTATATTTTGTAGCTGGTACCCACAGGCTTTTCTGATGTGTGGCTCTAGTGTGTGAGAGAAGTGGAGCAAACTATGATGACTGCAGTTGGGTGACAACTGTAAAAACCAAAAGCCTTACAAGTGCCTGTAAGATGTTAAGTGATCTGGCCTTGTTACCTCTGAATCATCATTTTCCTCACTCTTTCCACTCATGCCACCCTCCTTTTTCATTCTTCAGATATGCCAAGCATGCTGCCAACTCAAATCCTTTGTCCTGCTGTTTCTTCTGCCTAGAACATGTTTCTTCAAGATGTTCTCATATGGACTGCTTTATCACTCATCTGGTCTCTTATAGCCTGACTACTGTATAAAGTGATAACGACCGACATTCTCTCTAACCCTTAGGACTTCCTTTCCCTTTTGCTGTGCTATTAGTATTCCTGTAAGTGTTTATCACAGTCATTAAGCAGATAGGTAGAAAGAAGTGTTATCTCTCTCCCTACATTAGAATATAAGCTTTATGGCGGCCATGACTAGTGATGTATGCAGTGTTTGGCATGTAGTAGGCCTCCCAAGAATATTTACTTTTGACATTTAATGAAAGGGGAGGGTCGGGACCAGCAGTTGGTGTAATGGCTATGTCGACCGCAGTTCAAGTCTTGGACCCGGTGACTTAAACTCATGCCGGGTGTGTGTGCATGCGTGCCCAAGATCCTGAGAGGAGAATGGAGGAAAAGGGATTATGGTGTGGCCATCCACCTTGGGGAGTGAATTCTCAGTTTCTGTCTCTCAACCTCTCTGTCTTTCTGGTGAGCGCACGTGCACTATAGCAAAAACCTCTCCAAAAAGGAAAAAAAGAAAGGAAAGGGCAAGTCTTGGGGGAAAAAAGTCTAGAGTTCGGTTTACAGTATGTTAAATTTGAGATGTCTTTAGGCAGAAGTTGAGAAGTTGAATAGGCAGGTTAAATATTCAAGACTGGTATTAACAGCAAAGGTTAGGGACACACACACACACACACACACACACACACACACACACACACACACTGGGTCTTCAAAAAGTTTGTGGAAAAATTAGGCCAGCAGATGGCGTGGTGGTTAAGGCAGCTGGATCCCACATAGTCAACTGTGCAGTTTGAGTCCTACACCCAGCGGCTTAAAAAACATGTGTACCAGGCATGTGCATGTATACCCAAAATTCCAAGAGGACATGGAGAAGGGATTGTGGTGTGGCCAGTCCCCCTGTAGGTGCTTTCTCACGTTTCCTTTCCCCACTGTCCCCATCTCTAGCAAACACACATGCCCTACAGAAAAATTTAAAATAACAACCAAAAAAAAAAAAACCTATGCACGGATTTTCAAAATTTTTTGCATCCACATAAAATCATACTGTAATTCCATTTTTCCACAGACATTTTGAAATCCCCTTGTATGTACTGGAGTTACCAGATATGGATGGCTTTTAAAGCTACGGAATGGTGAGAGGTTAGCTAGCAGTGAGTTGATAAGAAAATGAGAGGTTTAAGGACAGAGCTCTGAGGAACTTCACTCTTAAGTCTTCAGTTAGAGAAGGGACATCCTAATATTTGTAGATTTTATCAACTTCACATTTATACCTGAGTTAAACAAAGACTCCTCTTGTTAAGAATGCATAGGAAGCTTTAAACTAGAAACTTGAACATGCCACCTAGAAGCTCTGTGCTGACCTTGAGGACTCTGGGCAGGAAGCTGTTTGTGGTCGTCACACCTGGTTTCCTCTGTGAAAGCACTGCTGCATGTGGGCAATGTGGTCATGTGTTGCTGGCTGCTGTTGATCCTCCTGTACATGTGCAGGGTGGTTTTCCTCCCAGCGTAGGCAGTCATCCATATACAGTGAGGACATTGGCTGCAAGAAACCTAAGACAGGGAGCACCCATCTGAATGCAGTAAACTTCCCAGATCATTTTGACTTAAAAAATTATAGAATGAATTTCTTTGAAACAAAGTGAAGGTCTTAGCTCTGCTGCTGTTTAAGACATAAGGAAAGCATGTAGATTTATTTCTGTATGATGAATGTCTGTGCTTTCCTGTATATTATGAAACTTTAGTAGTTCTGTTGCCAGGTGAAAATTTGACTGAATGTTTTTATACCTATCTCTAGACTCAGTACATTAAATACACAGGAGGGAACCAGCAGTTGGCATAATGGCTCTGTCACTGGACTCCCATATAGTCGATGCGGTTTGAGTCCCAGACCCCATGGCTTAAACTCACGCTGGGCACTAGTGTGTGTGTGCCCAAGATCAGAGAGGAGAATGGAGGAGAAGGGATTGTGGGGGGGTGATTTCTTGCTTTCTGTCTGTCTGTCTTTATCTTTCCGATGAGCGCACGCACCCTATAGCTAAAACCTCTCTCTAAAACAAAACAAAACAAAACAAAACAAAAAAACACAGAAAATGTCTTTTATCTTGAATATGAAAAGACATTATTACACTATGTTAGCCTTTGAGTTTATTGAAAAAGTAAGAAAAGATGTTTTATTAGAATGGTAATTCATGCTTAAATTCTTTGGGTACTTAGTCTTAACTTTTCTTATTTGTATTTTTTTTTAATAGAGGAATTGAATATTTTATTATTTCTTATTTTGCTGCAAAGCTGTTGCTTCAACTGTATAAAATAGCAGCAGCAAATGCAGTATATCGCAAAACTAAAATAGTACTATTCTTTTTTTTTTTTTTCTTTTTCTTTTTTTTGGAGAGGTTTTTGCTATAGGGCGCATGCGCTCGCCAGACAGACAGAGAGAGACAGAAAGCGAGAAATCACCCCCCGGGGGGGATGGTCATGCTGCAATCCCTTCTCCTCCATTCTCCTCTCGGGATCTTGGTCATGCACACACACGAGCCTGGCGTGAGTTTAAGCCACTGGGTCCAGGACTCGAACCGCGGTTGACCACGTGGGAGTCCAGCGACATAGCCATTACACCAACTGCTGGTCCCAATAGTACTATTCTTTAACACTATACAACTAACAAAAACTTTTCTCCAGCCCCACTTATTTCCAATGGAGAGAAGAGGAAATATTCTGACCCACATCCACGGATGGTTATATACAGTGTTATATAAGGCTTAGGGTAACAGTGTTATCACTAATTACATAGTTTTTATAACTAGTTTTTAATCACAGATAATTGCATGATTTCTGAATACTTGCCCATAGACTAAGAATCCTAGAATATTGTGAAAAAGATGCATTTTTGTGTTTATTAAAAATATCATTAGAAAGTTAAGGGGTTTTTCTTTCCAGTAGTGGTATTCAGAGTAGTTTCTTTTTCTACTGTTATTGCTAAAAGTTGCAATTTTTTTAAATTAAAATTATTTATTTTATTTTATTTATTCATTCATTTATTTTTTAAAATTTGACCAGAGAGAGACAGAGGTTGAGAGTGAGAGAGAGAGGAAGTGAGAAAGCAAGCCACCAGATTCAGGACTTGAACCCTGGTCGAAAATGTGGGAGCGTCCAGCGCCTTAACCACCACGCCACCTGCTGGCCCCAAAAGTTGCAATTTAAGACTTCTGTCAACCACTAATTCAAGATAACTATGCCTGGATTAAGTTGTTTTACACTACTTTATTTAAGGGTTCTACTTTTACTCTTCAATAGACTTTACGTATTTCTCATGCCATCTTCACTCATTAGTTCATGTAGTTCTGAAGGGTTACTCAGTGTCATCTTGATCAGCCAACCATCTTCGTAACAAGATTTGTTGACAAGTCCTGTATTTTTTGTAAGAGCTTCATTAATTTCAGTTACTTCTCTTGACAGAGGAGAATAGAGTTCACTAGCAGCGTTTACACTTTTCCAAAGCACCACTCATCTTGTTTGTTCAGTTTTGTCTCAGCTTCAGGCAGACTACAATAAACATCTCCCCAAGCTTCCTGTACAAAATTGATGATTCCCACTGTGCCAATACCGTTTTCTGTTGTCATCCATTCATGTTTCTCCGTGAATTTACATACCGACAGCAGAGCGGGTCCTGTGCACAGCGTCCAGACGGCGCCTGCCCGCAGCCACCAGGGCCGTGGTGGACAGGGCACTGCAGACACTGAGGCCGCGCAGGCTGCAGGCCACCGCCCGCAAGCTCTACGCTGCCCCGCTAGCAGCGCCATGTTCGCAGGGATGCCCAGGCCCCCGGCGCTGCGCCTGGGTGGGGCAGAGCCTTCTTATCTGTATTAAAAAGAGTTCACTTAATCATTTCTCTTAAGATCTGTCCACTTTAGGAGAAAACGTGTGATAGATTCTAGTAATTAAAGAAAGGAGAGGAGGCAAGAAGACAGATGAAGTCTGTTTTACATCAGGTTGCCTTTTTGGGGAATTTTTTTTCTTATCTTACTGAAGCAGATTTGATGATTTAGACAGGTTTTGGTTAAAGCATGGGTTTCATTTGGGCCAGATTTAATTGACAACTTTCCTTTGTCAATCTTCGAGCATTTGTAAAAATTGCAGTAGATGGGAAATTCTGTTTCTCAGAGATGAGAATGATGGTCTTAATTTTTTCAAATGAGTATAATGTTTATCTTTGTCTTTGAGCTTATATTTTGAAGGAAAGATAAAAGGATTTAACTTTTAAGAGACAAACTTTTAGTTAGGTAAAAATACGTAAGACATTCGAGTTACCCAAACTTATTTGATAACTCAGTTGTAAAGATAAAGACTGATTGGCTTGAATTCCTATTTGTGAGGTAATTTAAAGTGTTTCTGACTTAATGTTTTGTTGTTGTTGTTTTTCAATTCTATTTTTCTCCTTTAGTCTAAAGCACTTAGAATCTCCACGCCACTTACCGGTGTGAGATATGTTAAAGAGAACAGTCCTTGTGTGACTCCAGTTTCTACTGCTACACATAGCTTGAGTCGTCTTCACACCATGCTGACAGGCCTCAGAAATGCACCAAGTGAGAAACTGGAACAGATTCTCAGGTCAGTTAGCCTGTTGTCCATTTTTCAATTTTCTCTTTCAATTTTTCACTATTATTGAAAATTGTGACAGTGTTTAATATTGCCTGTGTGAGGGACCTGTAGGTGATATGGTGGTTAAAGAACTGGTCTCTCACATGACCAAGCATGGTTGAAAATTATGCCAGGCACATGTGTGCATGCCCAAAAATCCCAAGAGAATTATGGAGGAGAAGGGATTGTGTCATAGCTATCTCCCCTAGAGGGTGATTTCTCACTGCTTCTCTCCATCTTTCCCTGACTCTCTTGAGCTAGTGTGCTTGCTCTATATCAAAACCAAAAAAAAAAGAAAAAAGAAGTCTATGTGAAAACCCATTAACAATACTATAGCCTTTGATAAGGAGGTATGTGATATCCTTGATTAATTTGAAAAGTATATAGTTTCTGTTTAAAATATTTGATATTTAAATGTTATTAAAAGTACACAGGTATAAGCATTTTGTTTCTTGTGATGTGGCAGGACTTTTCTATTAGATAATTTCTCATTACCTTATAGGACATGTTCCAGAGATCCAACCCAGACTATTGCTAACAGGTTGAAGGAAATGTATGAAATATATTCTCAGCATTCCCAGTCAGACGAGGATTTCAATAATAGTTCTAAGGGTAATGTTTAATATTGTCTATACTACTGTCATCTTTGAAGTTTAATACCAAGGAGTCCTTTCTTGGTAACTGTCAGAAATATGAGAAAAATTTTACGACTATAACAGAGTTAATGTGGCTGTTTCAGTTTATCTATAAACCAAGTATATCTGGGTCCTGATAGAAATTTTAGACTGATGTCTTTATTATGTTGGACTGCTAGTATTTTTTAATTTGTAAATTCCTTCGTTTCCATTTGTAAACTAGAAATTAAAAGGATTACATATCCTGGGACCGGCAGATAGCGTAATGGCTACGTCACTGGACTCCCATGTGGTTGACCACAGTTCGAGTCCCGGACCTGGTGACCTAAACTCATGCCAGACGTGTGTGCATGCTTGCCCAAGATCCTGAGAGGAGAATGGAGGAGAAGGGATTGAGGCATGACCACCCCCCATTGGGGGTGATTTCTCACTTTCTGTCTCTCTCTTTCTGGTAACACACATGCCCTATAGCAAGAACCTCTCCAAAAAAAAAAAAAAGAAAAAAATTATATATCCAAACTTGGCCTAGAAATTATTTAATGTCATAGATTGGAACCTAGTATGTATGGAATAGTGAAACAATTACATAGCTCTTAGTATATAAGTATGTAATTAGAGAATTTAATAATTAGATAATTTAAATTATACATATAGGAAAATGATGTGTCTTAATAAAATGATATTACAATATTTTATATGCAGATTTCATTTCCTGTTTCAGAAACATGTGAATGTACCTTGAAGAAAATTAAGGAATCATAGGGATAATTAAAATGAAAATTGTAGGAATTGTATACATCCGAAGTTTGGGCTAGTGTTTAGGTTCTCTTTTGTGGGTGGATAAGGAGGGATGAGCCTTCATTTTCCATCTTTAATTTTCTTTGTATGTTGTTCTTGTGTTTTTAAAAATTATTTCTACAGAAATTGCCAGCAAGCATTTTCGTTTTGCAGAGATGCTTTACTATAAAGTACTAGAATCTGTTATTGAGCAGGAACAAAAAAGACTGGGAGACATGGATTTATCTGTGAGTAACATAACTTGTATTGACCAGCACAATAAAATGTAATTTCCTTTTGGCCCCATTCCCCCCGAACCCCCCCCCCAAAAAAAAAACTGTTATTGAAGAAGTAATGTGTGGCCCTAGGGGATGATATTGGTCGGGCACCCAAGGAAACTTTCATTCTGAGCCCTCTCACTTTCACTTAGTAATGTCCTTTCAGCAGGCTGTGTATTATATCCTCCAACTTCTGTGAACAGAATAACTCCATAGTCAAGGATTAAAATATTGAGATGATTTTTTTAAAAGAATTACTTATTTATTCATTCATTTATTTTAATTTGACCAGAGAGACAGGGACAGAGAGAAAGAGGGAGGGAGAGAGAGGGAAAGTGAGAAGGCAGGTCACCAGCCATGTGGGAATGTACATCACCTCAACCACCATGCCACCAGCTCCCCAAAATATTGAGATTTAATAAGTTGAGTTGTTAGGGACCAGCAGTGGCAAAGTAGTTAAAATGTTGGATTCACACATAGCCAACCACAGTTTGAGTCTCAGAACTGGTGACTTGCTTTCTTGCTATTTCTCTCTCTCTCTCTGGTGAGTGCATGGGCCCTAAAGCAAATTTAAAAATAATAATAATGGGGACCAACAGTTGACTTAATGGTTATGTCTCTGGATTCCCATGTAGTCAACCATGGTTCAAGTCCCGGACCCGGTGGCTTAAACTCACACTGAGTGCGTGTGCATGCATGCCCAAGATCCCAAGAGGAGTATGGAGGAGAAGGGATTGTGGCGTGGCCATCCCCCCTGGGGGGTGATTTCTTGCTTTCTGTCTTTCTGTCTCTCTCTTTCTGGCGAGCACACCCCCCCTGTAACAAAAACCTCTCCCCCCCCAAAAAAAAGATAATAAATTAAATAAATAATTCTTTTAAAAATGAATTGAATTGTTGAATAACAGGTTTTTGCTCGCATGGCAAGAATAAGTTCAATATTAACTGGATGGAATATTAAATATTAATATTCAGCCATTATACTTAGCTAATGTAATTATGTTTCCAAGGTTTTACTAGCCAAGAGATAGATTTTTGTATAGATGATCATTTTCAATATCAAAAATGTTTTTAAGACTTACTAATTTTATTTATTGTTTTGTTTTTTTGTTTGTTTTACAGATTTTTGCTATAGGGCGTGTGCACTCACCAGACAGACAGAGACAGAGAGATAGAAAGCAAGAAAGCACCCCCCAGGGGGGATGGCCACGCCACAATCCCTTCTCCTCCATTCTCCTCTCGGGATCTTGGGCACACGCGCACACGCGCCCGGCGTTAGTTTAAGCCACCGGGTCCGGGATGTGAACTGCGGTTGACTACGTGGGAGTCCAGCAACATAGCCATTACGCTAACTGCTGGTCCCTTATTTATTGTTTTTAAAATTTGCCATAGGTCACATTTGGCTCATCAGAGAAGGTCAAAGAGGAGAGGGGGAAGAATGTGAGAAAGCAAGCTGCTAGGTCCAGGGCTTGAACCATGGTCAGCCATATGGGATTCCAGTGCCTTAACCACCATGCCACCTTCTGGCCCCCAAAATAATTTTTTAAATTTAACTTTTAAATTATATTTTAAAGAAAATTATAGGGACCAGAAAATAGTATAATAGTTACATGTTACTGGACTCCCACATGGCTGACTGCCGTTTGAATCCCAGACCTAGAGGCTTGAAACTCAAGCCAGGCAAGAGGGAAATGGAGGAGAAGGGATTACGGTGTGGTCATCATCCCTGGGGGATGATTTCTCACTTTCTGTCTCTCTGTCTCTCTACCTTATAGCAGAAATCTCTCTTTAAGAAAAAATTATAAAACTATCCAGTATTATTCTAATTTCTTGTAATCTTGGGTCATCAGAAAAGTCATGACATATTTTTCTGTTTTTCTGTGCCAAAAATGTGTCATGATTGTTCCGATGACCTAGTATTTACATTTCTTTCATAATATATTTTTAAATGGCAATGTAGTTAAACTTTCCTATCTATGGATTCAGCCAAGGAAGGATTCTGTTGTTGCCATTGAGTACTATATACTAGGCCTACAGTGGCAGCATCTGTAATGAACATGTACAGATTTTTTTCCCTTGTTATTATTCCCTAAACAATAGAGTACAGTAGCTTTTTAAAAAAAATTATTTATGTAATTTTATTTATCATTATTATTAATTTTTAATTGCTACAGGACATGTGTGCTTGCTAGAGAGGGCGAGAAGGAAGGAGAGGAGAAAGCAACCCCCATGGGAAATGGTCACGTTGTAATCCCTCTTCCATTTCTCCTTTTGGGATTTTGGGCATGCACTCACATGCACTTGGTATATTTTTGAAGCCACTGGGTTCAGGATTCAAATGGCACAGTTGCCCATGTAGGATCAGACTTCCTTAACCATCAGCCATGGAGCTAGCTCTAGAGGCTGATGTTAAGTAGATAACTGTATATGCTTATCCAGGTACTTTTCTCACTGTAACATAATAGTTACCATTTTTCATTTTGGCAATTTATAATTCACTGGCACTAATGACGTACATTTACAGTGTTGTGTAACCACCACCACTGTCCACATCCAGAACTTTTTTATTATCCCAAACTGAATCTGTACCCATTAAACACTAACTCCCTATTCACCCTTCCCTGTAGCCCCTGGTAACTTCCGTGTCTATTTTTTGCCTGTCTTTCAGTTACTTTTTCACAAAATTACCTATTCTAGTCATTTCATATAAGTGGAATCATGCAATATTTGTCCTTTCATGTCTGGCTTGTTGGTTGATCGATCGATCGATTGATTGATTACAGGTTTTGACCATAGGGTGTATGTGCTTGCCAGAGACAGAGAAAGTAAGAGGGAAAGTGAGAAATCACCCCCCTGCGGGGATGACCACATCACAGTCCCTTCTCCGTTCTCCTTCTGGGATTTTTGGGCACACACGCAAACACACGCAGTATGATTTTCAAACTTACATGTCTGGGATTCAGATTGGTTGGCCATGTGGAATTCAGAGCCTTAACCACTATGCCTCCTACTGGCTCCCTGGCTTATTTATTTCATGTGGCATAATGCTTTCAGGGTTCATCCATGTTGTATTATTTTTTAAGGATGAATAATAATCTTTTTTTTTTTTTGAGAGATTTTCTCTATAGGGCGCGTGCACTCGCCAGACAGACAAGAGAGAGACATAGAGACAGAAAGCGAGAAATCACCCTCCAGGGGGGATGGTCACGCCGCAATACCTTCTCCTCCATTCTCCTCTCGGGGATCTTGGGCACGTACGCACATGCGCCTGGTGTGAGTTTTAAGCCACCTGGTCTGGGACGCGAACCGCAGTCAACTACGTGGGAGTCCAGCGACTTGGCCATTATGCTAACTGCTGGTTGGCAATAATAATCTTTTGTATGCATATTTATATGCCACATTTTGTTTATTCATCTGTTGACAGACATTTGGTTGTTTCTACTTTTTTGCTACTGTGAATAATGCTGTGAACACTGGTATACAGATAGGTCTTTGAATCCCTGCTTTCGGTTATTCTGAGTTCTTCATACCTAAAAGTGGAATTTTTAGAATTGTATGCTAATTTTATGTTTAAGTTTTTGAGGAAATGCCATATTGTTTTCCATCACAGCTGTACCACTTTATATTCCCACCAGCATTGAATTCTCTCAGTTGCTCTACATCCCTGAAACATTTATTTTCTACTTTTTGGATTATATCCATCCTAATGGGTATGAAGTGGTATCTTATTGTGCTTTTGCTTTGTATTTCCTTGATGACTGGTGATGTTGGGTATCTTTTCATGTGATTATTGGCCCTTTGTTTATCCTGTTTGGATAAATGTTCATTGAAATCCTTTGCCTATTTTTTGAATTGATTTGCTTTGTTTTTTTTGTTATCAAGTTTTAGGGGTTTTTCTTTGCATTTGTACATTAATTCTTTATCAGACATGATTTGTAAATATTTTCTCCCATTCCATGGGTTTTCTTTTCACCCTCTTGGTAGTCTCCTTTTATACACAAGTTTTTAAATTTTGATGGGTGTATTTTATCCAGATTTTCTTTTGTTGTTTGTGCTTTTGGGCCTGGATAATTTTTTAATTGAAGAATAATGTTAGATACGATTGGAAATAAGCCAAAAGAAAATAAAAATCTGTGATTATGTCAACCTATGATAAATATGTTGACTTTTGACACATGGACATCTAGCCAGTCACCTGTCTTCCATCTCTCTTTTTATGACAGTGGCCTTTTACTTAAATATTATCTGGTAACATCTTTCCACATTATTATTATTCTAAGCATTAGGGAGTGTGCAAACGTGAGAGAGTATATTTTGGTTAGGGATGTAATCTTTATTTATTAGATTCAGTTTTTAATATGTAAGTTGTTGTACATCCACCCCCTTATTTTGCTAAAAAATGGATTTATTTATAAAATTTAGAAACATTTTGTAAGAAAATAAGCACTTTTGACTAACTCAGAAAGTAAGACTTTCTTTGACACTTTTAATTTAACTTGACTGGATGTGAAATGTCTTTTTAGAGTAGGCTAATATTTCTAAATGTTAATGATTTTGTTTTATAGGGTATTTTGGAGCAAGACGCATTCCATCGATCATTATTGGCCTGCTGCCTTGAGGTCGTCACTTTTTCTTATAAGCCTCCTGGGAATTTTCCATTTATTACTGAAATATTTGAAGTACCACTTTATCACTTTTATAAGGTATTTTTAATTTTTTAAAAAGTTCTGTAAGGTTTTTTGGGAACCAGCAGTTAGCGTAATGGCTATGTCGCTGGACTCCCATGTAGTCGACCGTGGTTCGCGTCCTGGACCCGGTGGCTTAGAACTCACGCCGGGCGCGTGTGCATGCGTGCCCAAGATCCTGAGAGAAGAATGGAGGAGAAGGGATTGCGGCGTGACCATCCCCCCTGGGGGGTGATTTCTCGCTTTCTATCTCTCTGTCTCTCTCTGTCTGTCTGGCGAGCGCACGCGCCCTATACCAAAAACCTCTCCAAAAAAAAAAAAAAAAGTTCTGTAAGATTTTTGCTGTAGAGTGTGTGCATTCACCGGAGAGAAAGAGATAAGAGATAGTGAGAGGGGAAATGAGAAATCACACTCTAATGGGGATGACTATGCTACGAGTCCTTCTTCTCCATTCTCCTCCTGGGATTTTGGGCATGCATGTGTACCTGGTATGAGTTTCAAGTTGCCAGGTCTGAGACTTAAACCCTGACTGGCCATGTGGAAATCCAGTGTATTTAACCACCTCCTGGCCCCAATAAAGTATTTTTTGAAAAATATGATTCTGATGAAGAAATTGTAGATTAGACCAACTTCCTATTCCTATTCATCTAGTTCATGTTAGTTCTAGTTACATATTTCATAATTTTTACAAGGTGTCTTGAAAAGTTCATGGAAATATGTTAACTTGTCTACTTGTTTCCTGATCTTTAAAAAAATAAACTTTAACGGGCACTCATTTTTCTTTAGTTCATAATGGAAAAATGCCTCCATCAGGACCTTTGGTTCTTTAGAGATGAAATATATCATTGGTATCATCTCTTTAAAAAGTGTTTTGGGGACCAGCAGGTGGTGTGGTGGTTAAGGAGCTGGACAGTCCTACCTGGCTGACCACAGTTCAAGTCCAAGACCTGGTGGCTTGCTTTCTTACTTTCTCTCTCTCTCTATCGCTTTCTCTCTGCGTGCCTCTCTTTGGTCAAATTAAAATAAAATGAATGAATAAATAAAATTAAAATATATCATTCTTTTTTAAAAAGTGTTTTGAACTTGATGCTGAAGAATAAAGTTTGTATTGTTAATTTTTACCTTTCAGTTCTATTTTTACATGAACTTTTGAAGTCCTTTCACATTTGAGGAGCAGAGAAGAAATAGGAGCGCCTCAAGACTTATATAAATTATTTAATTATAGTATGAGTGATGTATTGTGGCTAAAAACGTCTTTTGACTCCTTCCTTTATCTGGTAAAGGCTTTCAGAATACTGTGATTTTATAAGCTAAGAAGGCTTTAAAAAGCACATACATCCTAACTAATCTTGAATAACAACCTTTTTTATTTTATGAAAATTAAATAATATTGAAAGTGTATTTCAGGAAAAAAAGGAAAACTCTTTTACATGTCATAGAGAGGCACAGAGTTATAGCAGTGATTTGGTAGCTGTTTGCCTCTTGATACTAACTTAGCGTATTGAATTTATCTTAATTCTTATATGGTCAAAATTATTTTTTATAATGATATAGGTTGAATGTTTAGAAGAGTTTTTTTTTTTAGAGGTTTTTGCTATAGGGCACATGCACTCCCCAGAAAGACAGAGATAGACAGATGGACAGAAAAGAAATCACCCCCCAGGGGGGATGGCCACGCCACAATCCTTCTCCTGCAGTTTCCTCTCGGGATCTTGGGCACATATGCACACATGCCCAGCGTGTGTTTAAGTCCACTGGGTCCAGGACTCGAACACCACTCGACTACATGAGAGTCCAGCAACATAGCCATTACGCCAACTGCTGGTCCTGAATGTTTAAAGGATCTTTTAATATGCAGAGTTTTTATTTTATTTAAGGTTTTTGCCCTAGGGTGCTTGAGCTTGCTGGAGAGAGACAGAGAGGGAAAGTGAAAAATTACTCATCCTAGGGTGGATGGTAGTGCTGCAATCCCTTAAGCCACTGGGCCTAGGGCGCGAACTCTAATTGGCCATGTGGGAGTCTAGCACTTTAACCTTCATTCTGCCTGCTGGTCCCTTAATACTCAGTTTTAAGAGTAATGTTTTCAATCTCATTACATAAGAATGTTTTTCTTTTTTTTTGTTTGTTTGGAGAGGTTTTCGCTACAGGGCGCATGCACTCGCCAGACAGACCGAGAGAGACAGAGAGACAGCAAGCGAGAAATCACCTCCCAGGGGGATGGTCACGCCGCAATCCCTTCCTCTCGGTATCTTGGGCACGCACGCACATGCGCCTGGCGTGAGTTTTAAGCCACCGGGTCCAGGACGCGAACCGCGGTCGACTACGTGGGAGTCCAGCGACATAGCCATTATGCCAACTGCTGGTTCCCAGAATGTTTTTCATTTTAAAAAATTTGAAATACATCATACACAAAATTATGTAATTCATATATGTAGTTTAAGAATTATTTACAAAGATAGTGAAAGAAAGAGCAGCTGTTTTGAAATAGTACTGTTGGTTAAATTTGTAATTTTAAAATGTCAAGTTTATTTCTTTTATGAGAGAGTGAGACCGAGCTCACAAGAGAGACAGATAGATACCCTTGACAGAGCATCCTCACGCTGCAGTCTCCTCCCAACTCTCTAGCTAGTCACAATCTTAAATTGTATGTACTTGGTATGAACTTACAATTTCTGATAAATTATTTGTGTATTTAAATCACATTCAGATAAAATACATATACTCATTTTGCTTTCACACTTAAAGATTTCTTTGTTAAAAAACAAAAACAAAAAAACCCAGTATTATTAAATGAACCAGAGAATCTTTCTTTATTTCAGGTGATAGAAGTATTCATTAGAGCAGAGGATGGCCTTTGTAGAGAGGTGGTAAAACACCTTAATCAGATTGAAGAACAGATCTTAGATCATTTGGCATGGAAACCAGAGTCCCCACTTTGGGACAGAATTAGAGATAATGAAAACAGAATTCCTACATGTGAAGAGGTTTGTGAAAATGTTTTTGCATCTTTTTATATGAAGACTACATTGATTTGTAATCTATTCATAATACCTTCTTGCAGAAAGCACTTAACTTATTGTCTTCCTTTTTTGGGAGGAGAAGAGTGACAGTTGGGTTTAATGTGGTACAATTACCCCTTTATCAAAGAGGAAATAAGACTCAAAAATAATTTGTCAGTGCCCAAGAGTGAAAATTCAACATTCTTTCTTGTTTTCCTGATCAAGTATTCCTTAGAATGGTTGATATTCTAACCCTCCAAATAAGTAGTGAAGGCTGATTCATATTTACTATCCAATTACCATGTTTTCAATTTTTTAAGATTGCCAGATTTTTAAAAAAACTGTAGTATGAAAGTGGTAATAAAAATTGGTATTACTGTAGTATTAAAATCTAGTTGATTTTATATAGGGAGAATAACCAATGAGCCAAGATAGTTTTCCTTTGCCTTAGATTAATATTATATTTCTAATTCAAATGCTTTTGCGATATTACCATTGTATAAACGATCCTTTATAGGTCATGCCCCCTCAAAACCTGGAAAGAGCAGATGAAATCTGTATTGCTGGCTCCCCTTTGACTCCGAGAAGAGTGAGTGAAGTTCGTGCTGATACCGGAGGTCTTGGAAGAAGTAAGTTTAAAATACTAGAGAGAATATTTGGGATTCCAATATCTGGAGATTTAAAATTCAGTTAAACATACACATGAAGTTAATAGGGTAAATGTAGAAGAAAATATCCTATGTATTTTAGTGTGACCTAGATCATTAAAAAGAATGCTCTTAAAGAATATTTAAAAACATGGGAAAATATATAACGAATATCTTTTTCAAAAGGAAAGGACTACTATATATTTAATCTGACTCCTGTTTTTTAAGTATGTATGTTTAGTTGTTGGTATACAAAAGGGTGGAAATGGAAACCAAACTGTTAAGAATTGTTATTATTGGGGACCAGCAGTGGCATGGTGGTTAAGGTGCTGGATCTCCACATGGCCAGCCATAGTTCAAGTCCTAGACTTTGTTGCTTGAAAATCACACCAGGTGTGTGTGCATATGTGCCCCAAATTGGGAGAGAAGAATGGAGGAGAAGGGATTGTGGCATGGCCATCCCCCTAGGGGGTGATTTCTCACTTTTCTTCTCTCTGTCTCTGTATCTCTCTCTCTGGTAAGTGCATGCACCCTATGGCAAAAATGTGAAGGAAAAAAAAGATGACACGTGTATGGTTAATGAGTACATGGGAAGGGGCTCAATATCATTAGTAATTAGAAAATGATAATTTAAAGAAAAGAATGGTTGGGCCTGACAGGTGGTGCCGTGTCTAATGTGCTAGACTCCCACAGGGCCAATCACAGTTCGAGTCCTGGATCTAGTGGCTTGCTTTCTCACTTTCTCTTTCTCTCTGGTCAAATTAAAAAATAATAATGATAATAAATAAAATTTAATTAAAAAATAAACAAATTAGAAAGCTAAAGAATGGTTATTCAGTAATAAAATTCTCAATGATATGTGCAGTTTTTTAAAGGAAAATCCAGATCATAAGAAATAGAGCTTTCTTAAAGATAAATCTGCACGATTCAGTTAGGTTTAGATAATCAAGTCAGATAAGAGGACCAGATGGTCTGGGCGAGTTCAGCTTTGTCTGTCTCAGTTAAGCTGGGCTACCTGGCTAATGTGACAGTATTGCTGGCCCAAGAAGTACAGAAAAGGCAGTTTGGAATGCATCTGGTTAACTTTTTTTTTTCTTTTTTTGGTAAGAGAGGAGGAAATAAAGGAGAGAGAGAGAGAAAGGAAAGGAGAGATCTATTTTAATAAGGTCTCACAATGTCATGATGCACCTACCCCAGCCTTCCAGTCTAACTGGGATCACTGCTGCTCGCTACCATACCCAGCCTATTTAGCTTGGGCTCAGAATCAAATCCAGGCCTCTTATGCAGCCTCAGCCACTAAACAGTGGCTACCTCCCTTCCCCCCCAATTTATGCCACTGTGGCTAGGCCTGGTTTACATTTTAGGCAGCTCTTTGTAAGTTTACATACATGAGATGCAGCTATTATTTTTCTCTTTCAAATGTATTCATTTCAGGACCAGCAGATGGTATAATGATTATGTTGCTGGACTCCCACATAGTTGACTGTGGTTCAAGTCTTAGATCAGGTCACTTATAAAATGCCAAGCATGTGTGCGTACATTCCTAAAATCCTGAGAGAATGGAGGAGAAGGGATTGTAGCGTGGCCGTCCTCCTAAGGGGATGATTTCTCACTTTCTGTCTCTTTGTCTCTGTCTCTCCGGTGAGCGCACAAACCCTATAGCAAAAATTTCTCTTAAGCAAAAAAGTGTATTCATTTCTTCTGAGAGAGAGCATGAGAGGCAGGCATCCCCAACAGCCTTCCTCCCCTAGTCTCAGTCAGCCCAGAACATGGGCATATACCTGCATGGGCCTGGAATGCTCAAGAGTGTCCCAGGACATGTGCTCAGGGCCCTGCCCTTGTGGATCCAGCTGTATTACTGCTACCACTGCCTCACCCTAAAGAGCAATTGTACAAGCCCAGAGAGTCCTGAATCCCTAGATGCCATTAGAAGAATATTGTTTCTATATATGCTTTAAAATGTAATTGGCAAACACTGACTGTAGCAGAAAGATCTGTTTTGTTTTGTTAGTTTTTCTTTGTAACACATGTGGTCACTGAAAAAGAGACAGAGAGGGAAAGTGAGAAATCACCCCCCAGTGCAGATGACTATGCCACAATCCCTTTTCTGTCTCCTTTAGGGATTTTTTTTTTTTTTTTGACATGCACACATATGCCCCCAGTGTGATTTTCAAGTATGAGGTCCAAAACTTGAACCAAGGAGTCTGCTATGAGAACCCAGCTGCCTTAACCTCTATACTACCTCTACTGGCTTCCAAAAGGTTTGTATTAAAGTCAGGAATTACTCTTAAGTCAGTGTACACTCAACAACTGTCGATTACCTATATGAATACTTCCTTCTTTTTGAAAGAGAAATCATAATGGTTTAACTTTTTCTGCTTATTACCTACTTAGATCTATCCACTAGTCTGACAACTGGTTTTTGTCAGTTCTATGTATTTCCGTAGAGTTTTTCCTTCCCTAGTATATGGATTAGAACTAGACATTAGACTATATTTTCTGCATACATATCACTTCTCCATTTTCCTGAGGTCTTTCAACACTTTGAAGGTAATGATCATAATACATACATTCTGATTCTGCAGCTATGTACAGAATACAAATCTAATAAGTTTACTTATTTTTGTATTATCAGGAAGTAGAAATGTTAAGGTGCAATCTTTCAGGATTTACTCTTGTCAGTACCTGATATGACCTCCCTGCATATATTTTTAAGTCTTAAAAATGATTCATAAGGGACCAGCAGTTGACGTAATGGCTATGTCGCTGGACTCTTAGGTAGACAACCATGGTTTGAGTTCTGGACCCGGTGGCTTAAACTCACGCCAGGTGCGTGTGCGTGCATGCCCAAGATCCCGAGAGGAGAATGGAGGAGAAAGGATTGCGGCGTGGCCATCCCCCCTGGGGGGTGATCTCTTGCTTTCTGTCTCTCTGTCTGTCTCTGTCTTTCTGGCAAGTGCATGCGTCCTGTAACAGAAACCTCAAAAAAAAAAAAAAAAGATGCATAGGTGACATGGAAGAAGGAAAGGAATAATCATCAAAAATTAAGACATTGGTTTGAATACTTAAAAGCAGAGTAGCCATAATGGTTACAAAATTTTTGTTTGGGGCTTGAAACATTTTTAAATATACTTGTGATGATTGCACAACATTGTGAATATAATTAACTTCACTGCTTTAAAATGGTTATTGACTTTAAAATAGTTAAAATGGAAAATCTTATATATATTTTAGCACAATTAAAAAACACTAATACCTGCTGGTATTAAGGTGCTGGATTCCACATAGCCAACTCCATAGTTTGAGTCCCAGTGGCTTGCCTCAGCCACTAAACAGTGGCTACCTCCCTTCCCCCCCAATTTATGCCACTGTGGCTAGGCCTGGTTTACATTTTAGGCAGCTCTTTGTAAGTTTACATACATGAGATGCAGCTATTATTTTTCTCTTTCAAATGTATTCATTTCAGGACCAGCAGATGGTATAATGATTATGTTGCTGGACTCCCACATAGTTGACTGTGGTTCAAGTCTTAGATCAGGTCACTTATAAAATGCCAAGCATGTGTGCGTACATTCCTAAAATCCTGAGAGAATGGAGGAGAAGGGATTGTAGCGTGGCCGTCCTCCTAAGGGGATGATTTCTCACTTTCTGTCTCTTTGTCTCTGTCTCTCCGGTGAGCGCACAAACCCTATAGCAAAAATTTCTCTTAAGCAAAAAAGTGTATTCATTTCTTCTGAGAGAGAGCATGAGAGGCAGGCATCCCCAACAGCCTTCCTCCCCTAGTCTCAGTCAGCCCAGAACATGGGCATATACCTGCATGGGCCTGGAATGCTCAAGAGTGTCCCAGGACATGTGCTCAGGGCCCTGCCCTTGTGGATCCAGCTGTATTACTGCTACCACTGCCTCACCCTAAAGAGCAATTGTACAAGCCCAGAGAGTCCTGAATCCCTAGATGCCATTAGAAGAATATTGTTTCTATATATGCTTTAAAATGTAATTGGCAAACACTGACTGTAGCAGAAAGATCTGTTTTGTTTTGTTAGTTTTTCTTTGTAACACATGTGGTCACTGAAAAAGAGACAGAGAGGGAAAGTGAGAAATCACCCCCCAGTGCAGATGACTATGCCACAATCCCTTTTCTGTCTCCTTTAGGGATTTTTTTTTTTTTTGACATGCACACATATGCCCCCAGTGTGATTTTCAAGTATGAGGTCCAAAACTTGAACCAAGGAGTCTGCTATGAGAACCCAGCTGCCTTAACCTCTATACTACCTCTACTGGCTTCCAAAAGGTTTGTATTAAAGTCAGGAATTACTCTTAAGTCAGTGTACACTCAACAACTGTCGATTACCTATATGAATACTTCCTTCTTTTTGAAAGAGAAATCATAATGGTTTAACTTTTTCTGCTTATTACCTACTTAGATCTATCCACTAGTCTGACAACTGGTTTTTGTCAGTTCTATGTATTTCCGTAGAGTTTTTCCTTCCCTAGTATATGGATTAGAACTAGACATTAGACTATATTTTCTGCATACATATCACTTCTCCATTTTCCTGAGGTCTTTCAACACTTTGAAGGTAATGATCATAATACATACATTCTGATTCTGCAGCTATGTACAGAATACAAATCTAATAAGTTTACTTATTTTTGTATTATCAGGAAGTAGAAATGTTAAGGTGCAATCTTTCAGGATTTACTCTTGTCAGTACCTGATATGACCTCCCTGCATATATTTTTAAGTCTTAAAAATGATTCATAAGGGACCAGCAGTTGACGTAATGGCTATGTCGCTGGACTCTTAGGTAGACAACCATGGTTTGAGTTCTGGACCCGGTGGCTTAAACTCACGCCAGGTGCGTGTGCGTGCATGCCCAAGATCCCGAGAGGAGAATGGAGGAGAAAGGATTGCGGCGTGGCCATCCCCCCTGGGGGGTGATCTCTTGCTTTCTGTCTCTCTGTCTGTCTCTGTCTTTCTGGCAAGTGCATGCGTCCTGTAACAGAAACCTCAAAAAAAAAAAAAAAAGATGCATAGGTGACATGGAAGAAGGAAAGGAATAATCATCAAAAATTAAGACATTGGTTTGAATACTTAAAAGCAGAGTAGCCATAATGGTTACAAAATTTTTGTTTGGGGCTTGAAACATTTTTAAATATACTTGTGATGATTGCACAACATTGTGAATATAATTAACTTCACTGCTTTAAAATGGTTATTGACTTTAAAATAGTTAAAATGGAAAATCTTATATATATTTTAGCACAATTAAAAAACACTAATACCTGCTGGTATTAAGGTGCTGGATTCCACATAGCCAACTCCATAGTTTGAGTCCCAGTGGCTTGAAAAACACACACCAGTGTGTGTGTGTGTGTGTGTGTGTGTGTGTGTGTGTGTGTGTGTTTGCATATGTGCATACATGTATGCATGGCCAAAGTCCTGAGAGGAGAATGGAGGAGAGGGAATTGTGGTGTGGCCATACCCCAAGTGGTGATTTCCCACTTCTCTCTTTTTCTCTCCAATGAGTGCACATGCCCTACAGTGCAAAAACAAACAAAAATTCTATTAATATTACTATACAAAACAACACTGGGAGGCCTACAGATGACGTGGTGGCTAAAGAAACTGGATTCCCACATGGCCGACTGTGGACCTGGTGGCTTGCATTTTCACTTTCCCTTTCTCTCTCTCTGTCTCTCTGGTCAAATTGAAAAATAATAACAAATGGAAGTAAATGGATAAATAATCTTTTTAAAAAATGAATTTTACAACTTAAATGGGTGAAATATGGTCTGTAAACTGTATCTCATTAAAGCTGTTCAAAGATGAAGTTTACCTGATTCTAAATCATTTGTATTCACCTTGCTGAAGAACTTACTGAATTTTAGTAATTTCCTATTTGTGGCAAAAGACAAAAATAGGGACCAGCAGTTAGTTGGCCTAATGGCTATGTCACTGGACTCCCATTTAGTCAAGTGCGGTTTAAGTCGCAGACCTGGCGGCTAAAACTCATGCCGGGCGCATGTGCGTGAGTGCTCAAGATCCCAAGGGGAGAATGGTAGAGAAGGGATTGCGGCATGGCCATCTCTCCTGGGGGGTGATTTCTTACTTTCTGTCTCTCTGTCTCTCTGTCTTTCTGGCTAGCGCATGTGCCCTATAGTGAAAACCTCTCCAAAAAAACCCCAAAAACCAAAAGACAAAAATGATCATTTATAAAACTGGGGAAATGCTGCCAAATGATATATACTACCATCATGTTTATCAAGCAGTGGCTTTACAGTGAAGTTACTTTTTTTTTAAATTTAAATTTATTTATTTGCATTTATTCACTGTACATCATTACAGCATACAAAATGAGATTTTCCATCCAGGGTATACTGTATATTGTCTCAATCAAGCACATCAACAAACATGTTATTGTCAGCAAATAATTTTCCATTTCTTGTTTTCTGTATGTTTTGCTTTTTCCCCCCCATCCTTGATTCCCTATTTCTTACCCTCTGCATCTCCCACTCTCCTCCCACACTGTCTCTGTAGCTATGTTTGCTTTCTATACTGTTTTCCCCCCACATTTTATTGAATTACTAAAGACCTTAATTAACCTAAATCTTTTCATAGCAAACACAGCTGATATATACATTTCCATGAACACAAGTCTAACTTTAGGCATCCTATAAAGTAGCACCTCGCTGGGGCTATATATCTTACTGCAGTCATTGAATAGATATTTTTTTCCTGAAACTTTTTTTTGTACCTTAATTTACACTCTTCTAAGCATCATCACAGCATACAAAATGTGATTTCCCATCTGGAATATACTGCATAGTGACTTAATCATGCATATTATTATAAAAAAATTTTCCATTTCTAGTTCCTAGAATTATTTTTAACCCCTCTTTCTTACCCTCTGTCCTTTCCCACCCTCTTCTCACACTATCTCTGGTGTCTACAATTGTCTTCCATTCCTTTCCCACCCACATTGTATTGATCACACAGTTTCTTACATAATCTAACTACTTTCAATGGTGAGTTCACTCATTACTATTAAGAAAACCAGTTTTAACTTAAATCAAAGAAATGCTAAGGAACTTTGCTTAAAGCTAGGAGACAGGTTAGGATTCAAATGATAGGTGCATGAACCTACCAGTCTCATGTACTTTTATCTTCTGTTCTGTTCAATTTTCCTGATTAAAATCTGGGATATAATATTCAATTCCAGACTTGTCCCTACGATTAAGTTGGCCACTTTCTTAGTTTTTTTTGTTTTTGTTTTTTTTGAGAGGTTTTTGCCATAGGGTGTGTGTGCTCACCAGACAGACAGAGAGAGACAAAAAAGACAAAAAACAAAACAAAAAAATTGTAATTACTGTTTTTCTTTTTTTTTTTAAAAATCACAAAATAAAAAAAATCACACGGCCATGCGGAATCTTCTTCTGAAGGCCTGGCCTCTCCTGCCTGGGTGGGAGGACCAGAGAGGATTATTAACAAGATAAAGGTGGAGCTGAGAGCAAGAGAAAAACTTTACCTTTTAAAAAAAAAATGTAAAAAGGAAAAATTACCAAAAAAATTGGAAGACAGAAGCAGGGAGAGACAGAGACACAGAAATAGAGATAGAAGGCCAGTGTGTGAGGGGGGTTCCCTACCACGCTAGCTTGTTTGCTGGAGTCTGAATTATCAGTAGAAAATCTTTATTTCTCATGTGCCCTGAAATACCTAGTTCGCAGTAGCCATGCGGAATCTTCTTCTGAAGGCCTGGCCTCTTCTGCCATGCTAGCTTGTTTGCTGGAGGCTGAATTATCAGTAGAAAA